GCATGTGCCCTGACCGGGAATTGAATCAGCAACCTCTTGGTTCATGGGTGATGCTCAACCACATCGGTCAGGCAAAATAAATGATATTTTTATGTACAAGCTAAAGCAGCCAAGGATGAAATGGTTTCACAGAATTAGAATATTTGTTGTGATAACATAAAAGGACATTCGCGGGAGCCGCCTATGAGTAGTTACAGTCTGTTCGGGTTGTAATGGCTGTAGTAATCGTGCTGCCATTTTATGTAGCCTTCTAATATCTCGGCTCTCAGGACATTTAAGGGCTGATATTGAATGCATATGGATTACATGAGTGGTGTTTCTGCCATCCTCTCCAGCAAAGTGTATCTATACTGGGTGAAAGGGTGGTGGCCAAGCTAGGAATACAAAATAAAATGAGAGAGCTTGTGATTGATTCTCTAAGATGATTAGTTTATAAGCAAAGTATGTGATGGAAAACATGGTTTTATAAGAATTTATAGTAGGACTACTCTAGATGTCCTTATTTATAATCAGCATTATGTTCGCTCTTACTACCTGAAGAAATACTGTTGCGTTTCTTTTAATGAGACAAACTGGGAAATGGCTCAGTGCCTCCAGAAGGGGAAGTCCACCCTAAGTCATTGTAAATTATATGCTGTCTCCACACTTTGCCTTGCAATCTCAAGACATAAAAGCACCTCAACTTCCTTAAACTTTCAACAGATACCATTTTCAACACTTTTAACCTGTCTTTTGTGTTAAACCCTGAGAGATGAGAATGTTGAAAGACCTGGAATGAAGAGGAGCTGTTAGAGCAGAAACAAAATTAAAGGCAGAGAAGAGATGACAGATGTTTTCAGGAATGAGTTGTTTGAGAGGAGTGATTCTGCATCATGTAAAGTGCTGCGCCTGAGCAATCCCTACTGGTCAGCAAGAGACAGGGAGGACGAATTGAAAAGGTAGGACACCTGCAACCACAGGGTCAGCCTCAGCGCCAAATATCTCTCAGCTAAAATGAATTCAAGAGAGAACTGGAAGTTTGAGAACTTAAAGGACTAAGCATATAATGAAATGCTGCTGCTGAAATGTTGGTCACAAGCCACGGATTATTCATAGGATCAAGGCCAATTCACATTTGCACAGTATCTAAGTGAGTAGCTAGGACATGAATGCATTATCCAGACATGCTTAAGGCTCCCTGCCGCTCTTGCAGAAGTTACAGAGGGGGAGAGGGATTTCAGCATAGACAAAACTACTTTATTTTGGGAAAAGATGTCCATAGACAAACAGACAATCAAGTAAATGTAAAATATATGGACAGGAAGAAGAAGAATCTTGGTTTTCAAATTTCTGTAAGAACTAACTCATATTCCTATTGGCATAATACATCTCAAGACTAAGGTCAAACTCTTCTTAGTTCACCAAGAACCCTAAATCATCACCCCCAAAATCTTTAAAGAACAGATTGAAAACCCCAAATTCTCTTTTATAGTACATTGTTTGCAAGGGCCTTTTGTCTCATTGAAAATGTTCAAGTCACAATGTTAGCGTGGTTTGTGATGGTGTCTAATACGTGAGCAGTGTCTTATGATGACACTAATGAAAATAAGAAAAACAAAATTCAGGCATATTTGGATAAATTTTAAAAGGTTGTAAAGAAGCAAGAAGAGTCAGGACCAAGGTTATAAACCTCTCCTTTTCTCTCATGAAAGTAATCTACCCGTGTTTATTATCTATATAGTGTCCTTTTGGATTCAGGATCAAAATGATCTTAAGGCCAACATGTACGTAAGTTGAAGGGCTCTTGTTCTGTGCAGAGGTGGCAGGAGAAGTTCTATTTTGGTCTACAAAAAAATGAGCTGACCTACCAACAAAGATAAACACATCAGTTGTCTCTATTGTATTAAAATTTGATATATAACACTTTTGAGCATATGTGTTGATATTAAGTTGTTCTTTAATAACTAAAAGTATTTTTAAGTAAAATCTGACCTCATACAGGACGTCTCCTTCACCTCCACCTTTTCTTCCTTTCCTCATTCCCAGTGGGGGTAGAGAGTGGATATGGGGGTCTTTTGATATAATACAGCATAATAAAAATTATGTCAAGGGAAATCAGAAAGAATTGAGGAAATATGTCATTACAGTAGAACCATCTGATAGTCACCACCTTAACCCAGTAATCAAATTTATAGCATTACTAAGCATGGGAAAGCCTGACATTTTGTGCCTCCTGAATTGATGCATTATGAAGTACATACTGTTGCGCATAAAGTGTTCTTGCCAAAAATGTTTAACCTAAAGCTAAGGAAGCATCTTCAAGCCCAGCTTTCAGTTTGTAAGCAAAATAGGGACAAGTTAAATGACACAATGAAGAAGTAATAAAACAAATCCCAAAAAAAGGGACATTTTATAAACAGCTGCCCTGGTTTTTTCAAAAAGTCAATGATTTTTATGAAAAAAGGTAATGGTTTTTGTTTTCATTTCATGAAAATGAGAAGAAACTAGTCTAGATTTAGCCAAAACATAAAAACCAAGTGCATGCAACAAAATTCTAAGGTACCTAAGAATAAATTTAACCAAGGAGGTAAAAGACCTATACTCAGAAAACTATAGGACACCGAAGAAAGAAGCATATATCGTGATCATGGACATCATTAAAGTAAGAATTAACATCATTAAAATGTCCAGACTACCCAAAGCAATCTAGATTCAGCGCAATTCCTATCAAGATACCAATGGCATATTTCACAGAATTAAAACAAATATTCCAAAAATTTATATGGAACCAAAAAAGACCCCAAATAGACTTAGCAATCTGGAGAAAGAATAATGAAGTTGGAGGGATCGCAATACTTAATATCAAACTATACTACAAAACCATTGTAATCAAAACAGCCTGATACTGGCATAAGAACAGACATATAATATAGATCAATGGAACAAAACAGAGAGCCCAGAAATCAACCTACATTTTTATGATCAATTAATATTTGACAAAGCAGGCAAGAACATACAATGGAGTAAAGACAGTCTGTTCAATGAATGATGTTGGGAAAATTGGACAGACACATGCAAAAAAATGAAACTAGACCACCAACTTACACCACACACAAGAATAAACTCAAAATGGAGTAAAGATTTAAATGTAAGTCATGAAACCATAAAAATTTTAGAAGAAAACATAGGCAGTAAAATCTGAGACATCTCTCATAGCAATAGTTTTGCTTATATGTCTCCTCTGGCAAGGGAAACAAAGGAAAAAATAAGCCAACGGGACTACATCAAACTAAAAAGTTCTGCACAGCAAAAGAAACCATCAAAATGAAAAGGGAACCCACTATGTGGGAGAACGTATTTGCCAATGATACGTCTGATAAGGGATCAATTTCCAAAATATACAGAGAACTTACACAACTCGACACCAGGAAGACAGACAATCCAATTAAAAAATGGGCAAAGGACCTGAATAGACACTTCTCCAAAGAGGACATACACATGGCCAATAGACATATGAAAAGATTCTCAAAATCANTCCAAAGAGGACATACACATGGCCAATAGACATATGAAAAGATGCTCAGAATCACTAATCATCAGAGAGATGCAAAGTAAAACCACAATGAGATATCACCTCACACCTGCCAGAATGGCTGCCATCAATAAACCAACAAACAAGTGCCGGGAGGGTGTGGAGAAAGGGGAACCCTGGTACACTGCTGGTGGGAATGCAGATGGTGCAGCCACTGTGGAAAACTGTATGGAGGTTCCTCAAAAAATTAAAAATAGAGCAGCCTTTTGACCCAGTGATCCCACTTCTGGGAATATATCCTAAGAATCCTGAAACACCCATCACAAAGAATATATGGACCCCTATTTTTATTGCAGCAATATTTACAGTAGCCAAGATCTAGAAACAGCCTAAATGCCCTTCAGTAGATGAGTGGATAAAAAAGCTGTGGGACATTTACACAATGGAGTACTAAAAAAAAAGGAACTCTTACCTTTTGCAGCAGCATGGATGGACCTGGAGATAATTAGGCTTAAGTGAAATAAGCTAGTCAGAGAAAGACAAATACCATATGATCTCACTTATATGTGGAATCTAATGAACAAAACAAACTGACAAACAAAATAGAACCAGAGGCATGGATACATGGAACAGACTGACAGCTGTCAGAGGGGAGGGGGTAGGAAGACCTGATGAAAGAAAGTGAAGAGATAAGCCAAAGAACAGATATGCATAACCCATACACATAGACGACAGCGAGGTGATGACCAGGGGGTGGGGGTAGAGGGAATGGGGACATCTGTAATACTGTCAATAATAAAAATAAAGTTTTTAAAAAAAACAAATGCAGCCCGGCCGGGCGTGGCTCAGCGGTTGAGCGTCGACCTAGGATCCAGGCAATCGGAGTTCGGTTCCCGGTCAGGGCACATGCCCGGGTTGCGGGCTCTATCAGTGACTCTCTCATCATTGATGTTTCTATCTCTCTCTCTCCTTCTCCTTTCCTCTCTCTGGAATCAATAAAGATATATTAAAAAAAAAAAAAAAATGCAATGTGTGAACGTTGATAAACTGGTTTGGGTTTTTTAAAAAGGCTATAAAAGATATTCTAGACACAATTGGAGAAATTTGAATATGGATTGTATGTTAGATGATATGGCATTATTGTTACCTTTTTTACTTTAATTGTGGTCACATGGTTATGTATGAGATGTTCTATGCTTACAGGATGTGTCCTAAAGCATGGAGGGGTGAAGAGTTATGTCTGCTACTGTCAAATCTACATAGAGCACATGTGTGCTCATTGTGCTGTTCTTTCAGCTTTCCAATATGTTTAAATGTTTATATGTAGACTATCCACTGAAGTATATACATATATCTCTATAGTTCATTATAGAGATATGTAGAGATATATATGAAGGAGGGAGTTGACTTTTATTCCTTGAGAAGAAAAGTATGGAAGCACTGAATTTTTAAAGAACTAATGAATTAATTTTTCCCTTTTCTGTTTTAGGCTCAAGAGAAAGGAAGGTTAGACTATGCTAAGGTAGGTGAATTTTATTTATACTACACAGTTTTTTTCATTTCAGTTGGGTGTTCGGTTTTTGTTTATATTTGAAAGTTCAAAGGAGTAATCACATTCAAAGCTGAGGGGCATTGCCTGTTAACTAACAGGCATTAGCAGGTAAAATAAGATTCATTCAACGATAAGTTTATTTACTGAGTGCCCGCTTCATTCCTCACACCATGGTGGGTGTTGGGGATACAAGAGTGAACCAGACCCATTTTTTCCTTTCAGGACATTTACAATCTAGTGGGGGAGACAGATAACTAATAAAATAAAAAAAACCTAAATGGATACATAATATAATGCCAGGTAGGGGTAAGTGCTACGAAGAGAAAAATAAACAGGGAAGGTAAGATCAGGAAGCATTGCTGGAAAGATGCCTTTGGCCAGTGGAAGGAAGAGAGCTTTAGTGCCATCAGATCGTACCTGGGAAGCACCAAACAGGGCAGACTCGGGCTCCTAAAGGCAGTATATCTCACACCACCTGTGGAGCTTTGGAAAACACACGTGTCTGGGTTACCATTGTATCACACCCTTGTTCACCGAGATCAAAACCCCCTGGTGGGAAGAGCAGGGGCAGGGGCAGGAGGGAAGGGTTTATGAAAAGGTGCAGCAGATACTTTGACACACAGCCTTGGTTAAAAGCTGCTTGGGGAGCTGTTTCAGTTTACCAGTGAAGTCTAGGAACACACTTGGGTCGCATTCTGTTTTCCCCTTCGGGACAAGTGGAACATTTTAGCAGGTGTGTGGGATGCATATGGATGCTTGGCTAAAGGAACAGGTTAACCATCTGGTTTATGCAACAGCAAGAATATCGAGGATGTGAGCACACCTGCATCCAAAGACTGGGAGGAAGAAATATGACCTGTAAAAGTTCTGCTTGCAGGGGGACAACTGAAACCCACAGTGCTCTCTCAGGGCTGGCCCCAACCTGTGCTCTTCTGGCAGCCCCGAGGTGCACACCAGGGCTCCACGCCTTTACTCTAACTCCTTTCCTTGCCTGGAATGGCATCCCTCCTTTTCTCTGTTTCACAAACTTTTGCCTCCTTCAAGAAAAATTAGATAATAGGAGCGCTGTATCTGTCACTTTGGACTTCCATATCTGTCACTTTTTCTTAGATGTCTACTTGAGTCTTATCATATACCCAAATGTGGGTTGTGGACATACTTCTCTTGGGTCTCCCACAGGCAAAGGAGTTCAGTGCATCTTAAATGGAACTCAGCATCTTCCCTGACATCTCTGATTTTTTTTTTAAATAGACTTTATTTTTTAAAGCAACTATAGGTTCACAGCAAAATTGAGCTAAAAGTATAGGGAGTTTCCACCCAACCACACACATGCACAGCCTCCCCCACTGTCAATATCCTGCACTAGAGTGGTACATCTGTTACAATCGGTGAACTGAAATTAACACATTATTGTCACCCAAAGTCCATAGTGTACATTAGGGTCCACTCTTAGTGTTGTATCTCTGGTCCTTGTTACTTGTTCCCTCTCCTGTTGTTGGCACTGTCATCCAACTGATCAATCATGTGAGAAACTTGGTTCTATGACCAAGTCATTCCAGTTTTATATTGTGAAAAATTTTATATCCTTGAATCCAGCCCCTCCTCTTGATCTCCCTTCCATTGCTCAGTGTAAGTCACTTCATCTGAACCCCTGGAAAACCTACTGGCTGGTCTCCCTGCCTCTCCTTTGTCCCCACAAATCCGTTACCACTCAGAATGTCTAAACCACAAATCTGACAGTTTCACACTCCAGCTTGAAACCCTTCATTAGCTCTATGTTGTCTATAAAGCAATTTCAAAGCTTGCTAGATTGGCATATAAAGCACTGTGTGATCTCACCCCCTGGAGGGACTCTCTGGCTTCTCCTCTACCCTGCACTCCAGCGGCACCAAATTACATAAAACATGTTTCTGTTCTTCATGCCTTGACTCATACTAACCCTCTGCTTGGAATGCTCTTGCCCCTCCATTTGGCCCCTCCTGCTCCTCCTGTGATCATGTCCTGTAGGAAGGCTCCCCAGGCTGTTTTCCTCCATTCTTCAGTGCGTTGTGGTTCTCTCGGTCACCAAGCTTACTGTTACAATGGTCCGCTTTTGAGACAGATCATAGCCTGTGAGCTTTTTGAGAGCAAAGACAGTGTCTTATTTGTCTTTGTAGATTTAGTGCCTAACACAGTGCTTGGCACTTGGTAAGTGGTGTGTGAGTGAGTAAGTGAGTGAGGACATGAGTAAGAAAATAAAAGACACATGAAGTCAGTTGCAGGAGAAAATCTGGGATAGGGTTTTCTATCTCAGAGAGGAAAGGAATGCTTTTGACACATGTTGCAGGTATCAACCAGATTGAGAAGGTTGTTGAGGAAGGTTGTAATAAACTAGTTTGGAGATAAAGGCTTGGATTTTACTCTGATAGTAAAAGAAAGCTAACTTATGAACAAAAAAGGAAAGGAAAAGATTTGGCAATTGAGTGACTGTTGATCACTGATGCTTATTTATGACTCAAAGAACTCCTTTAGGGTTTCTTATTGCAATGGAAGAGTGTCAAAGAAAAGAAAAAAAATATGATGCACATATCAGATACCCCAGGACCGAGCTCTGCCACCAACTCACTGCAAAATCTGATATCAATCACTTAACTTCTCTGGTCTTCCCTCAGTTTCTTTAGTATAAAACAAGCAATTTAGAGTAGTGCTGTTTTATTCTTTAGCCCTTCCAAATTTGAGAGGAGACATTCTTGGGGGGGGGGGATTCCTATCTTGTATACTCCTGAGGTCCAGACTCATTGCTTTATCCACTTCATCCACCCATCCACTATGCATTTGATCTTTAATATGTGTGGGCACTGTGCGGGTGCTGACTCCCAGCATGAACAAGACTGACACAGCCATCACACACTTCCTGGACTCAGACCTCCCTGTCTAAAGTAGGCACTCCCCATTGCTTTATATTTTTCTTCTTAACATTTATCATTTTTTATTTAGTTGCTTGTTTCTTTCTTTCTTCTTCTACTATACTGTCAGAGCCCAGAAGGCAAGGCTCAGGGTGTCTCTTTGCTCATGGCTGCATCACCTGTACCCAGCACAGGCTTTCACACAGGAGCGCTTGATATACCTGTGGATGAGCTTTGCGTTAGTGTTATTCTAGGAGGAGTGCAGGAGACTGAGTGGCCTGGAATCCAGAACTGAAGACTCAAACTCACATTTTTAACAGCATATTGACTGTTTAACACAGTCCATTCCAATGTTCAGTAGCCCTAAGTTTACCTTCCCAAGTTCCCAGTGACAATATTTCTCATGCAGTAAACAGAAACCTACCACTCTGGACTATGTGGTGATAGTCTAATAGTTAAGGGCATAACTTTAGGTAATTAGTCCAGACCCGTCATCCTTACACAGACCTAAACCCACATACCATGGGGAAGAAAGATTATATCCATCTCTACTATGTATGGAGTTGATGTCAGCAATGTGCAGCTTGCATAGTCTTTTAAGCCGTGTACACATCATTACCTAAGGTCTACTCACCTCTTGTTTTGTGTGATCACAGTGCTCATGCTGACCAATGCAGGCACCATGCTTAGTGGCTTAGGGCTTCCCTGGTGCATTTATCTGTAAAACTACATTTGAAACTCAGTGGCCATTTCTGGGGACCGTCATGAAATTTATTTGTTGCTGGAAATTTCTTTACTGCCAAGTTATGAGTATTTACTCAAAAGCCAAATTTTATCTGAAAGATTAGATTTCAAGAACCATAGGAAATTCTTTTGGCCATGTGCTCTGTGGCTTTAGATATCATCTCTCAGATTTTGTCAGTCTGAGAATGGCGAGGCAGTAGGGAGAGGGCAGAAGAGGTGATCATTTCAGAATCAGTCTCAGCTGGATTTGGAGGATGTCTGTCACATTCAGCAAAACAATGGTCAGTATGCAAACACTCAGATAAGGAATTGAATCACTTTTTAATTGAGTTCCTGTTGCAATAGAGCCTGAATATGAATGCTCTACACGGCTGCAGTGCCTTTCATCTTAAGATATCAAAGCACTCGACAACTATTAATTCATTAAGTCTCTATCCCTCTGTAAGGTCGTTAACACAAGCACAGGAGTCCTCTACCCATGACTGAAACTCATCCACCTGGGGCCTGGGCAGGGAAGGAAGCTGCTTAACTGTAAGGCGATTCTACCCAGTAGCTTACCTAGTTAAAACTACAGAAGTTTTATTAGACAGAATGTAATTACCAGAAGTGGATTGTGACCAAGAAGCTGGTGCTAACAGTTTTGCTCGTATACACAATGCTATGGGGATCTTAATTACAGTGATTGGTCTGCAGCCCTGGATGTGTGTCTCCCTGTTCCGGAGGCTTCTGGCCCCAAGGTTAAGCACAAGCGATTCAGTTCAGTGGTAGAGGGAAGAGTGCCACCTATTGAATTGCAGGAATTTGTGACCATGTGCTGGGACTGGTGGAGAAGCTTCTCGGACCACAGTCGCACTCGGTTTGCTATGGTAACTAATATATATGTCTGAAAGAAAGCAAATATGTTGACTACTCTTGCTTAGAAAAACATCTACAAGCGTCTGTGTATTTTCCCCAGCTGGAGCCGAGCGTATGCCTGTAGTTTAGCCTACTGCTACGTGAAATAAGCATGCTGCTAAAAGACTGAGGCAGATGGTATTTTTACCACTTCAGGCAAAACATGGCACCTATGGTTCGGCATTCTACAATTTTAATTTTTTAACACATTCAGAATGGCTTGCTTAAATATCTCCATCACAGAGATGCAGGCTTTTCCTAATTTCTTTTTTATAATTGCTTCAGATATACAGATACATATAAATGTCACTTGGTCAGAACCAAACCCTGTTAGCACTGAGTGGGCCTCCTGCTCTTGTTTCACAAGTGCCTAGGACTGGGCCTTAAATGGGCTTTGACATTCATCCTAATTTTGACACAAAGACTCTAAATTTACAGCAGCTTTCT